GATGGAGTCGAAGGGCAGCATGCCGGCCAGGCCGGAGGGGTCGCCCATGTGCATGTCGGCGGCGGGGGTGGCGCGCTTGGGCGGCCGTCAGCAGGTGGGAGATATCAGTACGCCCCCCCCCCCTCCCTCTCCTTCCACGAAATCCATGTGCATGTGGCGCGCGCACCCGCCAGCGCCTGTCACAACCACGACGACAAGTGGTGGCAAAATAAAAACAAAAATAATTAAAGAAAGCAAAACGACAAAACAAACATACAGGCATGGGGGCCTAATGCTAAAGAAGAGGCGAGGGCAGCCACGCAAGGGTGACGGAGTGCCTCACGGAGTGGCAGCACCATGTGCGTGACACCGCCCGTCACCGCCTCGCCCCCGCCCCGCCCGCCGCCGCGCGTGGCCCCCTGCGACTGCACAATCCAGTCCAAAGTCGGCGCGGCCCGCCCTTATGGAGTTGACCTCGGGCAGCAGGTGTCTCTGCGCGCTCTGCACCGCTGGGCTTGGGCCGGCCGGCACGGTCAACAACGGGCATACGTGACCAACGGCTCGCAGCACTTCGCGCCCCGCCCCGCCCCGCCCCTGTCCGCAAACATGAGATAAAACAAAGTGCAACCTGCGGGCCGCTGCGCTCTGATGCCGCTTCGCCCTGCCGGCCGGGGCCGCGGGGGCCGCGAGTCTGCGCGCCGCCGCCGCGCCCAGAGGGCCCAGATCTGGCGCTGAGCAGCGTTTATCCGCGCCGCGCGATCCGATCACTCGAGATAAACACGCTAAGCGGAATCTGATATATTTCGCTCGGATTTTAAAGTCGATGGAATGGGAGGCTCGATGCGACGGCCCGAGACACGGAACCGAGTAGACACAGAAAACACCTCTACACACGGAATTGTGCGTGTAAACCATATGTTCCACACACAGCACTGGTCTGGTACAGAATGTACCACACATCCCTAGGCTGGCAGCGGCGAGACCTCAACGCGCGGCGTGCGCGACGAGCCAAACCGCGGTGGGAAACGCTTGAAGAGACGACACCACTACATGGTCTCGATTTGGACTTTTCAACACGGCCCAGTCAGCACGGAACCCAGCTCGGCGAGTGTACACCGAGAATCAATCAAAGTTCAGGCCAGCAGCGCCGGAATCCGTTCCCCTTCGCGTTATCCGAGTGCGTGTTCCCGTCTCACGCCGCTGGCCGCTCGGGGCGCGTTCAGAAACCTGAGGCTCTTGATCTCGAGATAAGCCGACCGGGTGGGTGTCAGACCGTGGCGCGGCGGCGCCCCAGACAGGTGGGCGGGGCGGGACTGTCCGCGCCCAGATGAAGAAGAGAGCCATGTGCACGCACCGCGCCACGGCTCTTGGCGTAGGTCAAGTATTCGCGCGCGCGCGCACACACACACGCACACGCATAGGGTGTTTGTGGACTGCATTCCCTCCCCAGCCCAAACAAGGGCGCGCGTCTGTTCGAACGATAACAGTCTGGGATGTTTGCCTGTGTGCCGGGCAGCAGCACAGCAGCGTTGCAGCGTGCCTATGTAGTCCGTTTACTCGGAATCCAAGTAGTCAGGGCCAAGCCCGACTTTCCAGTCGGGGCGCGCCGCGGGCCGCGGGCCGGCAGCAGCACCCCCTTCACCACCCGCCCCGCGAGGCGGTCCCATCCGTGCGTGAATCCCCAGTCAGTCTCGCCCCTCGCCTCACACGGGCCCGCGGGGCGCGACGGGCCGCCCCGCCCCGACACTCAGCCTCAACTGGTCCGCCCTGACAGACCGCGACTTTCACACGTGCGGCAACGCTGCGATGCGCTGCACGTGCAACGCCGGTACGGCAGCACCCGGGCCGCGGACCCGGGGCCTGACCCACTGCAGAGTCAGAGCAGGTGCAGGGCAGGTACTACCGGGGCTCCAGGAGATGGATCAAAATGCTCCCCGGCCCGACCGACCGCTGGCCTGGGGGTACAAAGATAGCACCACCACCCCACCTCGGCACCCCCCGGGGGGCACGCGGGCCCCGGGCGGGGCTGCGCTGGCTCGCTGCCTGCGCTGCAGGCACGGGGGGGCCCTACTATTGTCGCGCCCACAAAGGCACTGCTCCCCTCGGCGAGCGTGACTTCTAGACGACAAAGGGGCCGTCCTGCAGCACTGCGCGTCGCAAACACGGCATCCGGGCAGCCGGATGGTCCCCGTCCGTCACGTCCCCCCTGCAGAGCAACGGCCGAGCCCCGGCCCCTGGCTGCATAGGCACGGCGTCGACGCGGATGCACCCGCTGACTGCGCTGACGCACACCTCCGCGGGCGCCACCGCGGGCACATGCGGCGTCGACGGGGACCCCGAGGCGACGGAGACCTCCACGACGTCACCGCGAGTGGGCCATGGGCGTCGGCGGGTACCCCGGTGACGCAGACTCCCGCGGCGTCACAGCGCGGCCCCGTGACGCAGAGGCTGGCCAGTCGCGCGCTGCTACTGTACACACCTGTACAGGTGCGGACGTTCCCGGCCGCGGACGCGCGGGCTGGCCGCCGCTGGCCGCCGCTGCGGCTTGCACAGCATTTCTCCTTACGGTCGCTGGCTGGAGTGTACACTCGGTGAGCGTACAGTGCGAGGTACAGAGTTTATCGGACTATCAGACATTGCAACCTGCTATACACACTACCTCCGTCTCCATCTTCTCTCCCCTCCCGTTCATCTCTCTCCCACGCACACATACTCCTACATATGCACACACACACACACACACTTACGTCGCCCTCTCTGCTGAGCCGCCGGAACAGCTCGTCCTGCTCGAACTTGGCCTTCTGGTCGGGCACGACGCGCGGCATCTTGAAGATGAAGCGCGGCTTGGGCTGCTCGTAGAGCCCGATCTGGCCGATGGAGTCGAAGGGCAGCATGCCGGCCAGGCCGGAGGGGTCGCCCATGTGCATGTCGGCGGCGGGGGTGGCGCGCGTGGGCGGCCGTCAGCAGGTGGGAGATATCAGTCGGCAGGTCCGCCGCGGGCGGCGGCAGGTCGCGGGGGAGATCCTGTGTCACTGTAATCCACGGTGAGGGATGGCCGAGGTTGGTGGCCGCCTTGCAGGAGCACGCCGACAGAGACACACACCTCGCGCCGCTCCTCTCGACTCGCACTCCGCGCGCGCGCTCGCTCTAAGCGTCCCGCGGCAGCAGCAGCTCGCACACACACCGTCCGCTCGACTGCTCGACACGGCCGACGCCACGAGACTGGCGGGGACGGGGAGCGCGGCCCGCGACCCCCATCGACCAAGGCGGGAGGCCGGGAGGGGAGGGGGCGGAGCTTAGCGGCGGGGCCCGGCAGGCCGCCGGCAGGCTCCACCTCCTGCTAGCCTCCTGCCCACCACCAGCGAGACTCCTTCCTTGTCCTCCGCACGGGTCCCGTTGCTCTCCGCCGCTCTCTCGCTCCCTCCTGCCCACCGCGCTCGTGCGTGTAAAGGGCGACCCCCTCTCCCCTCTCTCTCCCTCTCTCTTCACCAGGCTGCGACTGTACCGCCGCTGCCGCCGCATTGTCTCGGTTGGATTTGTTTCTCTTCTCTCTCGAACGTTCCGCAAAAAAGCCCTCCGCGCGAGCGAAAGGACGTCCTTGCCGGTTGCCCTGATGCGAGCACGAGATGATCGTTTTGCGGAAAGAAAAAAAAATTGTTCTGTTCTCTTTTTCAGAAATGTGCATCGGCGTGCGGGCGGGCGGGTTTGCCTATCGCCGCTCCGCTGCCCAAGGTGCCTTCTTACGACCTCCTGCGAGTAGGCAACCCACCCGCACGCCTGCATGCGGTAAGGTATGCTGTACCCCACGCACGAATGCGAGCGGGTTGCCCAACTCGCTCAGCCCGTCAGCATGAGAGAAGGGCGCCCTTCTCTCATGCCGTCAGGCGACGTGGACAGGGGCGATAGGCAAGCCCGCTCGCACTCTCGTGCGTGCGGTACAGCATAACTACAGAAGTAAGCGGTGTTAGCCAAACGAAAGTGAGGTGGGTCAAACAGCCACCTACAGTAGTTTACTTTCCGGTGCAGTACTGTATACTTCCAAGCGACTGGAGTACCAGTTCCAGAACCATGGGACTGTAACAGTGGCCAGTAGGGTACTAAAGTCCCGAATATGTATGCGGAGAACGCGAGGAGAAGGGGTGCGGTGGGTGGGGAGTGCCCGAGCGGCCCGTGCCTTCTCTCCGGACATCGACAAAACGCCCGGTGGGTAGGCAGTTTATGTTTCAATCCGCCTAAAAGTAGGCAAATGTCATCTGCCTGAAACAGCGCGCGGTCGTGCGGGGGAGGCTGAGAGATGCACGAGGATCGAGGGACCATTTTCTAGTCATCGCGACGCTTTATAGATTATTTATACTGGGGCGTAAACGCAGTGCCTTCTTTTCCCAGCCGCCGCCGCTTTGTGACGATGACTAAACCCGTTCGATCAGAGGCGGACTGGCTGGTTCGCCCCTGATCTTGGATAAGTATGGATACATCAATGCGACGCTCAATACTATACTCTTAGCCTCACCCCTATGACAGACTTTATCCTCCCCTCCCCTCTTCCCGACCGCTCACTCTCCTTTCCCCACCCACGGACGCGGAGGGGCGTAGCAGCGGGACTTGTTGCTTGGCTCCGAACAGTGCCCCTTCCTCTCCCCGCCTGGCGTGGAGGCCCCACGGCCCAATTCCCCACGACTCGTAGACTCGAACGGCTTTACAACAAAGCAAAGATATGACGTCACTCATTTCCAAGGTATTCCTAAACACTTCCAGTAAATCCCTGAGAAAGGAAATAAAAGTCTCAAAAGCATCAACAGTTTACACTTCTGAGGCGCTTTCCTTTTCCTGCCTTTACAATGGTCCCATACCTTTGTTTTACAGGTGGACCTTACCCATACCGCCCGATTTTGTAGTTAAAACAAACCGCATGCACGCGGGTTTGCCTATCGTCGCTGACCACGGCGCCTTACGACCCCGACCGGAGAAGCAACCCGCGCACACGCCTGCATCCGGGGTTAATCAGCCTTGGCATTTTCTCAAGAATCGACCACCTGGGATCAGTCGTGTAACTGTTCCAGGTGGCTGATTCACGCTCTTTTGCACTATGCACCATGCATGCAACCCGCCCGCACGGCTCTATCCGGGACTGCATACCCACCAGGCGCAGGGAACCGGCTCCAAGCGCCAACACATCACTCCACCACTGATGTTGCAGCCAACGCCCAGGGGCGTACAAAGGGGGGTTGTTCAGTTTCGCGCTGGTTCCAGCGAGTCCACGGGGGCAATCCGCGAGTCCGCGAGGTAACTCGCGGATCGCGAGCTACCCCCGTGGCAGGATCCGTGGACCGCGAGCAACCCCCCGTGGCCCCGCGAGTTACTCCTGCGGACTCGCGGGTGAGCTGCATATTATGTATAATAGTGCGCGGCGTGAATCAGCCACATGGTAGATGTGGTAATGTCAACCGTTACTAGAACGAAGATCATTCCGAAAAAAAGACAAAAACAACCAGCCTCCCAGCAGCGTCCTTATACCGGTGCCCTCACGGGTGTCAACAGAGTTGTGATACCTCGTCATTAACCCCGAGCATGTTTACCCAATAGTCGTAATGATGGAGTGGCGATGAGACTCTTCCTGTCGAGCAGCGCGGCAGCGGCGGCAGCAGTAGCGGCAGCAGCACGCACCGGAGGGGAGAGGGAGGGCGATGAGGGATGACGAAAAGAGAAAGAGTGGGATAATGATACGAGCGTCATATTTACTCGCCCGGGGGCAATGTTTAGGGAGCGCAGGGCGGAGAGATCGCATGCATTGCATACCTCACAGCGCAGCCCGCGGCCTTTGTGCTCGCATTCCGCATCCCTTTACGCCACGGGCGAAGCAGGGCGAGGCCACACGGGGGCAGAGGGAGGGAGGGAGGGAGGGAGAGCGCAGACGGAGGCGGGCAGAGTGATCAAAAACGGTCAGAGAAGTAGTATTATTGCCACTTGGATTTTTGAAGAACGGCCCTTTACCTTTACCCCTGCGTGAGCCGGATAGCCCGGAGGAGGGGAGGGGGAGGGGGGTAGGTATACGTTGCCCCGCCCGTAAGCCCCTGTGGCCCGAGCGAGTACGCAATCCCGTAACACTCCAGCGTGCAATGAAACACGGCGCACAAACCCGAAAACCGTTGAACCCGCAGAGAACCGCATTCAAAAGGGACGAAACTTTAGCTCCGTAAACCCGAGTTTAGTCAAGAACAATGCAATTCTGCAACCCTTTCCCGCGCGTGTTAATTAAAAACTGGCTAATACTTTCACCTCTCCTCTGGATATGAACGTCGTCAACACCACACCGCGCCCGCCATACCGTCCGTTTCTGTCAAATGTGACACTGCGGGAAGGGGGGGGGGAGGAGGGCAAGGAGCCGGAGGGGGTCGAGGGATAAAGAAAGAGTTGACGTTGATACGAATGTGATACGCGACGCCTTTTGTTGCGATGAGGGCGCGCTGGACGCAAAGCTGCCAACAACATGGCGGGCGAGGGCGAGCCAGGTCGAGATTTGGACGAGAGCTTCCCGTTTGTGTATTTGCTTTCTACGCCGTCAACGCGTCAAAACGCATACACTGCAATTTTTTGTTTGAAGCCTCCTTTGTGCCGCGCGTACCTAAAGGACTGGATAGACCCCCCCCCCCCCTCTACTGCTCGCTAGCGAAAAATTGAATAAGATATGGAAACGGATTCGAAAACATGTTGAAAATCGATCTCGGCTGTCTCGGCGCTATCATGTTTTCGTTTGGGGTGGGCGCGCATGGTAAGCGGGGACGGAGACGTCGTGGGCACTCCTCACTCGTCCCAAGGTATTGCAGTTGCAATATGCAGCGTGCAGCCTCTCCCTGGACCTGGAACTACTGGAACTCGGTGCAATATAAAGCCCGCAGATCGCCGGCTGACGCCGCGGCCGCGCGCCACAGGCCACAGGAATACAGGGGCGCCTTCCCTCCTCCCTCGTCCTCGGCCGCCGCCACC